CTCATGGTGCTCAGTTGCACTTTCAATTTTTCACAGTAGACCCGGAGCTGTCGAATCGCACGCATATCTGATGAAATATCCGTTTCATGGCGTTCACGGATTTCTTGTATAAAGTGTCTCACCAAACGTTCATCAAAATCCGTTCCACCGAGATGATTGTCTCTTGATGTGGCCAAATTTGTGATCAGTTGTTTACGCACCTGGAGCACGGTGGCGTCAAATGTGGCACCACCGAAATCGTAGACCAATACCGTTTTGTTACGAATTCTCCGGCCGATATGATTGAATGCAATCGCGGCCGCTGTCGGCTCACGAATCAGGCGGCAAACATTCAGCCCGGCCATTTCCCCTGCACGACGAATTGCTTTACGCCGAACATCGTTGAAAATGGCCGGAACAGTCAGTACCACGCTTTTGACCGGTTCACCCAGAACATCTTCCGCACATTCCGCCAAATAGCGCAAAATCATAGCAATCAGTTCTTCCGGCAAATAAGCCTGTCTGTGTCCCCGATACATCACTTGAACCTGTGCCGTATCATCCTTGCCGGAAATCACTTCAAATGGCCACTTGAACTCATTGGCTAAATCGGCCACCTCACTGTACGGGCGGCCGATCATCTGTCGCATGTCATAGATGGTGTTCTTGGCGTCGACCAGAGCCAGGTTCCGGGCATCATCACCCACAAAACGATTTTCGCCGGCAAATGTGATCAAATTCGGTGTGTTCCGAAAACTGCGATGATTGTGAATCACATCCGGTTTGTCCTCTCGGTACACAGCCATACAACTGTACGTATTACCCAAATCAACACCAATTACAGGCATACTGGTTAGCGCCAGATAGGCAGTTGAGTGTACTCACATGGATCGCACTACATCGCGTATTTAATCACTCTGCTTGACATACTCACTCATCAAACAATATATGATGAAGCACATATATAGTCGGGTGATTCGCCACCAAACACATGATAAATAAGCACCAGCAGACGCAAGTTGTTTTGCATCTATACCGTGGAATAATCAATGCAGTTTACGTGTTAGCGTGGTTACTTTTCTGTGTGTGTACGTATGTGTGATTTAGAGGGAGCTGATGGAAACATTTTCGCATATTGGTGTAGCCTTCTGGTGACTACCAAGCAATGCTGCTCTTAGGTGGACCGTTGATTAGTGAATGATAGGCTTTACTCCGAAAGTATCAGTTCGTATTGTACTCAGGCACACACCCACAATATAGTGATTCCATTTGCGCATTGAATTCATCTCGACGTGCGTGTGTGTGTGTGTGCACATATGATTCCGTGCACAGTCATAATATGACACGGAAATTAATTGCTCAGAAAACGCCTTATACATTGTCAAGTCTAAATCAATCGGCAATGCTAAGTACTAGTAGCTAGTAGCTACACTGACTGCGACTATGCACACAGCTATTGGAATAGCATGAGGTTGCGATTGTTGACACAACACTTCTTCACCGTTCTGGTATTGTTCACCATAACGACTCGATTACCATCATAAAAACAAAGAATAAAGATAAAAACAGAGTTCATTAAAGTAGAATTTCACGTATCATAACTTAATTTTATACGTATGTTCAGTTTTCAGCTTTTCGCCAGTTTCTGTTTACATTCACAACATTACTTTGCTCCAATCTATGTTTCTGAAAGTGTTTGAAAGAATACGTCTTCTTTGTTAACTGTTCTTTCTCCCTGATTCTGTCTACCTCCACCGCTATCTCCCATTCCACCCGTAATGCTATTGTGTATACACTAAATTCTCTTCCCCATATCTTGATCAAAAGACTTGGAACTGTAGATCAAATTATGCTCTCTACTAGCACACGGCCGGTTCCGCGGTTCTTTCCATTCGTTAGGCATGCGTATCCGGTAATCTTTTGTCATTTCATTCACATACTTGTACCCAGGAAATGCACTTTCGTCACAACAACCCTATTTGCAACACCGGATAATTTTGGATAACCAGCTTTCTCTCTATATGTACTCTATATGCTATGCGTTCTGGTTGATTACTTCTCAGGACAGACATAATTTACTTTTTACAGTTCCAAACTACAGTCTTCCCCTCCAGTTACCAAGGATGCTGTTCTTATGCCATATTTTTCTATGCACACATGACAGATATGACACTCTACCGCCAATCCATTGGTTGAATGTACACTGGTCTTGTGGGGGTTGATTGTTCTTACCGCTATACTTCCAGCATTCATGAGCTTGAAACCTGTTTGACAAACACTTCCAGATAGTTCACATATGGATAGGTAAAACTAAATGTTCTCAAATGTCCCTTTCACCCTAAAATATCAATGGTCAATACCTCGCTCGAGTGAACGGCTCAAGCGCTTTGTAGTATTGTTTGGTTTATCCAATTCGATTGTTTCTAGCACGTGGGCTGTGTGGTTTGAGGGTAGGAATTTCGGGTGTCCGTGTGTAGGTTCGCGGTCCGAGTTCTGGTAATGGCACAAAGTATTCACTTCGCATGGATTAAAATCTAAGTATTTCATCTGGGTTTCAGGGTTCGTTTAATTCATATCCCGGGGTGTACTGTCTGTTGTCCTGGTTGAATTTATTATCAGACAATATTTTGATGCGTATTTTTTGAGTTTAGCAAAAGACTGCTTTTACGACCGAACAGTTTGTGTAAAGAGCTTATTCAGGCCTGATTTTATGGCACCACTCGATCTCAATTCGAAATTTTGCTCACGCAAATCTCTACTTACAGCAATAGCACTCTTCTTGCGCTTTGTTCAGTTTACTAAGTCGTTTACCAATCACCGATGAATTGAAAGTTGACTTATCAGAATAACCGGAGGCGCTAATATCCGCTTATCTGATAGCGTTTTCCCATCATATTTTAGTATGCCTTTCCGGTTGCTTTAAGCACTTTTTAACTGTACTTGATTAATTGAAGCTCGATTTCTTATAGTTAGAAAAAGTACCACAACATTGAAACACGAAACGTCAGAAATTGTTTTCACACATTATATTCAAGCGATAGTATGACGAATCCTGCAACGTTGTCAGAATTTTACGAATTCCAGCCAAGATACACAAATTGTTAGAAAGAGTTTTCTGCCGTCGTAAATTTGTCAGCGTATCACTAACCTTTGAAACGTCCGGACAGCGAGTTTAAGTGCAACTGGTCAATCCAAAGCAATATCACCACAGGTGTGACAGTCTTCTTTTTTAACTAATATTCTCAACAGCAATGTACCCGTGATCGAAGTAAGGCCTACAGATCACGACAATCGAATACCAAACAGGGCAGTCCAATCGACAGCTACTCACGTAACTCAAGCGTAGTTACACTCAGAAATATCTTTAAAAAACTACAATCATGGAGTTAAAGATAGTCTTTCATAAGCTCCATTTCGCTTAAGCAACAGTTGTGTAATCTTAGTAAAGCTAGGTATCTAGATGTGCGATGTACTCGTACTAATTGAAGGCGTATAGAATGATCATGCACCGTCGAATTCCAAACCTACAAAGATTAAAATCAGGGGCGGAAAATTCATCATTCTGTGTAAATGAGGCCTTTGATAATAATTCCATTCAGTTGAACGCACATTGCATTATGTCCCCACATGGAAATTTTCCATCCGAAACGAACTCCTCTAACACTCTTGCCTTGTCTAGTAGCTAAACTATTGCGTAATGGGTGGATCAACGTAATGGTGCCATGTATTTTACTTCGAGTTGAGGAACGTCTGCATCAATGACTTATAGTAGATGCTCTGGCATTAGACCAGTCCCGTCCTATTACGTTCCCGGTTGTGGCGTGACTTTTCGGTGCACCATACCATTCTTCGATGAACGGTTATTAGTGATTAGAAAGATCACGCGTAGAACTGGTAAGTGCCCGACATGAAATCTGATAATGTAATTAATTTGCCATTAATTGAAAGGGTATCGTTACCGATAGAGATAAAAATAGAGAGCTATAACGTGCTGAGCCGGTGATAACACTATATTTGTCTATCAAATCTGCGCAAAGAAACACAAATAAGTTACCACAAATTTCCTGGGGTATATATGCATACATATAACAAGAATCCTTACAGATATGGCATCAAGATAACCATGGGTTGGAAGAGAAAAACAGAAATAGAACAATAAATTAAAACAGCCAATTTTCGCTTGTTTACTGCACGTGATTTTGACCTTTTTCTTGGTTTGTTATGTCTTTGGGATCGCGTGCAGGAAAAAGAAAATAAACGGGGCCAATGTAAACTATAAGGTGAGTAATTAACTGTTGCAATTCAAAATCAATATTTTATTTCCAGTACTGGAACGTAGAGCGAGAGAACAAACGCCTTTGTCATCTCATAGCTTTCTATCTGTGCTTTGAGCTACTTCGATTTCAACAATTTTTTAGAACTCATAGCTAATTATGATAGAGTTTGAACGTACTTACATACTCTTAAAGGTGAACTGAAAACCCGGAAGTTAACGTGTAGTTGGGTGTAGTCGTACCCGCGGTTAGTGGAAGAAAAAACAGCAGTGTGATTCCGGCCAATGAAGCTGAGAAACACTAAAAAACGTAGCATGCATGAACTTTACCTGTGAGGCCCGGGATTCGATGGATTTATGCTGCTGCTGAGACCCAACCAGGTGGAAACAGCTGTCCAGTGCTTCTTAGAAATTGAATTAAATCCTCCACTGCTCTGAAGAAAGTTCGTGACTGCCAGTAAAAAGAGATCACGCAGGCTGGAGACTTGCTCTCAGGGAGCTTTCCTTGAATGAAATGAGCGTTTCCTCAGGAATTTCCAACAATGTTTGGGCAATCTTCAAACAGCTGGAAGATGATTGCAATTTCTCTCGTCAGTATACATACAAGAACGTCGATGCTATTTGTTCCAGAAAAGATATAGATGATCGAGTAAAATTTTTCGTTAAATACCATATGGTAAATAATTAGGTTCAGAATACTTCTAACCGAGTCATAATCCCGGAGTCTGGCACTGAGATGTGATACTTACTACTGTTGTGGGGTGCTACTCACATTTGTGAGTAGTATGCAAAATAGTGCAGCTGGCGGTTTCCTTCAACAATCAAAAATTAACTAGATCACTGAGAGCGAATTGCCTCAAAGAATAACTAAGGACTGCTCCATTCGTTATTCTATGTGCTGCCTGGAATTGTGATGACATGTTTCAAATGAGATATCTGTTATATGTATATTTGTCCAGGCTTATCAAAGCTGAAGTAAATAGATTGAACGCATTATTCTCTGATCAAATTCTAAGGACTGGAAACAGCAAACATCTGTGGCAAGGTATAAGACTTCTCTGTG